GGATATTCCTCTTGCTGTTTTCCCTGTGTATAGTGTCTCCTTCCTCCACACACTGGCCACACGAAAGCTCCACGGCACCCTTGAACTCAACCTGCTCTCTTTTGACTACACACCTTTGCACGTGCTGTTCCCTTGGCCTGGAACACTCTCTCCCCCTTCCCTTTTCACAACCAACTTCTACTCTACCTTCAGGACTGAGCTTGGATACTATTCTTCTGTGACACCTTTGCTGACACCCCTAGATCAGTCTGTGGACTTCCTGTATGTACTCACTAAACACCCTAACTTTCGGTATCAGGGCTTGATCACTCTGTATTGAAATTGCCAGCTAACTTGCCTGAATTTTCAGCAGATGAAGAGCTCCTTAATAAAGTCTCTATCTCATTCAGTGTCATACCCGTGTCTCCTAGCAATGATCTTTGAGTCAATGCTGTTGAGGTTGTAGTGTGATGGGGATGCTCTCTCACTTTTTGTTCAAAAGAGAGACATTTGGTCTAAGAATAATAATAATAATAATAATAATGCGACAATTAGGTACCCCTCTGCACCAGGCATTGCACTAAGTGCTTTCATGCATTATCTCATTTAATTCTCACAACACTCCTTCAGAGTAGGTACTACCAGCATCCATACTGTACAGATCAAGAAATAAAGACTCAGAGTTGAAATGATGTGCACAAGACCATGAACTTCAGGTGGTGGGATTAGGAAACAAACCCAGGTCTGTCTGATGCTAACAATATTTTTTCTCAACAATAGTGCTCTAATGTGCAAGTTTCTTTGAACCAAGATTACTCTCCCTGGAAAGCTATCATTTAGAATTGAAGGTCAGATAAAGAATTTTGCAGATAAGAAAAAGTGAAAGGAGTTCATCACCACCAACCCAGTATTACATGAAATGTTGAAGGGTATTCTTTAAGAAGAGGAAGAAGAAGAAAAAGATAACAAATATCAACAACAAAATGGCAACAAATATATACCTATCAACAATTTAATCTAAAAATCAAAATAAATGAATAATGAACAGAATAAGCTGGTGAATAAAATAGAATCAGAGACATGGAAATGGAACAGACTGACAATTGTCAGAGGGAAGAGGGGTAGGGGGGCAGGAAGAGATTAAACAAAGATCTTATATGCATACTAGTACCTATGGACACAGACAATAGCGTGGCGAAGGTCTGGGGTAGGGTGGGAACTGGGTGGAGGGAGGTAATGGGGATAAGAAAGAGGGACATCTGTAATAATCTCAACAATAAAGATTGAAAAAAAAGAAATGAGAAGAATGATGGAAGTAGCAAATATTTAGTTATCTAATTAAGTATTGTCTATGTTCCAAACACTGGTTAAGCACTGGATATATAGAGGTGTCATTCCTGCCCTCATGAGGTCTGCATTCAATGGTAGGAAACAGCAAAGAAGTGACATAAGCCAATTAATGACAGTTTATGATGAGTGGGAAGATGGGAGATGAGAGAGTGTGTAACAGAATGGAGGAAGTGTTGGGGAAGTAACTTCAGATAAGGAGTTGAGGGAAGGTCTCTCAGAGCTGGAGAAATGTGAGCTGACAGTTGAGTGATGAAGACTCCAGAACTGTGTCCATCCATAAAGAAGAGACATTCAAATGTCCTGGGGTGGGGACAAGGCCAGCATGATCTGCAAGGAGCAGAGAGCCAGCGTGGCTAGAGGGGAGTGAGCCCAGGAACACTGATTGTAGATGGAGTTGGACACACTGGCTTGGGATAGACGAAGAAGGCCTTGTCTGCTGGAGTGGGGAGTCACTTAGTTCTATTGGAACCAGTGGACATCTTCAAGCCACGAGTGGGCATGGTTGGATTGGTGTGGCATTAATGTTTATGTTATAAGACATGACTCTTTTCTAGTTAAGCTTTTTTATGTTGCACTAGAAACAATGTTTTCTGGCAAATACTCCTTCCCATATTAATTACTCCTGGACTTAACATAGAATTATTTGTTCTTTGCATAACAATTTACTTTTCATAATATTTCTTTTCTTAATTGAATTTATTGTGGTGGACATTGGTTATTAAAATTATATAGGTTTCAGGTATATAATTCTACAATACGTCATCTGTACACTGTCCTGTGTGTTCCCCACCCCAAGTCAAGTCTCCTTTCATCACCATTTATCCGTCTTTACCCTCTTCTACCTCCCCCATGCCTCCTTCCTTTGGCAATCACCATATAAACAAAGTGGAGACAGACTCACGGATACAGAGAACAGACTGACAGCTGTCAGAGGGGAGGGGGTTGGGGACTGGGTAAGAAGGATGAAAGGATTAAGAAAAAAAAGAGTCATAGAAACAGGCAACAATATGATTTTTTTTTTTTAATTCTGGCTATCTATCTGGGCAAGACTTTCTCACTGCTTTACTTTTCACTTCCCTCTGCTCTCCACTGGGGGGCTCCAGAGTTTGTCATAAGTATCTAGCCTGGTTAGTCTCCTGAGCAATTTCTCTGGGATGGTCTCCTTAGAGTTCCTCCAAAAGCTATGTTTAAGATAGGGAATACTGACAAGAGAGTAAGACCAACCGAATAGATAAAAGATTAAAACACAATCACCTCTTTGAAACAGGTCTGCCTTTGATGGACTGCATAAGATACAGTAATAAGAATCATTATTTCTCCATAAAACCGATGGGATGCCAAGCCTTTACATGGCTAAATTCACTAGGACTGATGAATGGTTTTTATTTTAAGTGAAAGTGATTGTACAAACAGCAGAAAGATTTATAGAACAAATCTGAAAATTACTAGGGCAGACCCTGGAAACCTGCCAATTAGTGACAACCTTAACTGTTGACAGTTTCTGAGTGTTTACTCTGGGCTAACACCATGCTAAGTGCATTATTATTTACATCATCTCATTCAATCCTCCATCACTCACACGTGGTAGGAATGACCATGATCCCCTCTACCGAAGTTGGAAAACTGAGGCTGCTCAGGGCCTCAAAGTGACTTGGCCAAACATCTCAGAGGTATTCAGTGGTGGAGCTGGCATTTGCACAAAAGACTTCTGACTCCAAAGCCCTTCGTGCTAACCAGGACACTAAAAGAAAGAGAATTCCAGAGACTTCCATTCTAGTCTGAGCCTACTTTCTTGCCATTTCAGTTTTCTCAGTGATAAAATGCTTATCATTGTTTCCTGAGGGGTGGTGGGAGACAACACAGGTACAACACATTTGCAGAGCATCCTCAGTGCCAGAAAGGTAATCAAAATGTGTTGTAAGCTACTAGACGTTACACAAAAACAAAGTATTTTCAGCAAGGTGACTGATGTTTGCCTTCAAAAGAACACCCTGTCCCCAAAATGAATTCCTTAAACATTCTTTTCTGTTTTTTGAACTTGGTTGCCCTCTCTTGCAACTTGACCCAAATTTCACATGAAATGTTCATTTCTATCATCTGATCCTCTCAGACAAGAGTTGGCAACATAAGGTACGTTTCTACTGAGCTCTGCCACTAACTCACCATGTGGCTTTGGGCAAATCCCTCTCTCAGAACCCCAAATGCAAAATGAGAGAGTGGGTTCATTGAAGTTCAAGGTTATTCCTATTGTAAAGTACTGGGGTGGAATGTTGCCCATGGCTGAGGAAAAGGGCTAGGTCATAACATAACAAGAGAATTACTCCGCAATATTTAATGAGTGAATTACGGGACTCTTGACCCTCGGGTGGTCACTGATATTGGGGGTGCAGCAGACACCATTCTAGGGGCTGGTCCTGGAACCGTGAACAAAGCCCGTCTGGCTCCTGCCCCCTGTGGAACTTTTACATCAACAGATCAAAACGTTGGAGCCTGAAAAAGACTTCCAACCACAGAGGCATCTCGTCCGACACGCACACAGTTTCGAACATTTGTGAAACTTGCCAATGTTTAAATATAATGGGAGATTTCGCACAGACCGTCTCGTTTCCAGCTACTCTTTTAAAACAGGAATCGTTGGCAGCACTGAGCTGGCATTTGCACGTGGCAGGGAAATGCTGGAACCGAACAGAAGCCGGGACCACCCCACCCTCACCACTGCCCACCCCACACTTCAGCCGTCTCAGTAAGCCACCCAGGGCTAGTTCTCCGGCGGCTACGCCGTGTGACTCGGGAGAGAGGGAAAACTGGAAGAAGCAATTTCAATCGTGTTGGTTCGTACAAAGGGGAGGCACAGGGTGCTCTTGGGACAGAATATATACACTTCCAGGGAGCTGCCTTCCCCTCTGAGCCTCTGTCCCTGCCCTCCCCTCCACCCACCGAGGAGGAGCCAGGAGACCTGGGTCCACAAAAGATCCTCTCCATGAATTGTTACGCTACACTGGGCAAGTAGTATCCTCCTCTGTGCCTCAGTTTCCCCAGCAGTAACCCGAGGAAGTCTGCTAGATCCTAACTGTTAAGAGATCCTTCTTGCCGGGACCTAAACAATTATCAGTCCTGTCTCGGCTCCCCCCTCCTCCCCGTCATACCCCGAGGACGTCTGAAAGGGAAGCTTGCCTTTCTTCACCTCGGATCTGCAGGCTCATACCCGCCACCCCCTGCATCCACCCACCCGCTGTGGCATCGCCCAGGTCTCTTGGACGGGAAGGGGGTCACTTCAGGGGAACTGGACCTCGGCCCGGGAAGTTGGGGCGCGCTCTGCATCCCAGCGCTGGGGACGCCGCCAGCTCCCAGCCCCGCCCGCAGCAGTCTTCCCGCACGGACCGGGCGACTGTTCTCCGTTTCTGGCAACAGGCTCCGATCCGGGGCGTCCGCTGGCTGGCTGCTCCCTGCTCCTTGCTCTCCTCCACACCCCACTCTTCATTCAACCCTCCCCCTGGGCCAGCCCGGAGCCGCCCCTCCACGCGGAGCTGCGCACTTGGCGGCACTCGGACCCCTCGGCAGCCAGCAGGTGCCGCGCTCCCGCCCAGCCCAGCCCCGTCCCTGCGCCCTGCTCTCTCCGCGTTTCTGGGGGTTCCCGTGTTACCCCTGCTGCCCAGGCGGAAGCACCAGTCCCAGCTTGTTGGAAGGCGAGAAGGGAGAAGCCAGATCTAGGTGAGTGGTGGCCTCGATTTTTCCTTTTCTTGTTACTGAACTTGCATGCTAAGGGCACTCACTGTTGGGAAGCTAGGAAGTTAAAAGGGAAGAGAAATAAGACAAAGGCAGGCGGTCCAGACAACCCACCACAACCAGATAGGGCTGGGACCAATCCTCGCTCCCTGGCTACTCTGCACCCCACCGGTCCCCCAGCCTCCCGCTGACCCGGGTCCAGACACATACCGACTTCAGCGAGTATTTGCTGGGTGGAGACAAGCGCTGGGAGTATTTCTGCTTGTTTCTCTCACTCAGCCTCTAATCAAGCAGAAACTGCCTTTGATGGTTGGCTTCATCTCCACAAGGATTCCTCCCCCCAGAGCGGAAGGATTTGAACACAGACCATTAAAAATGTGGTGTGTTTCACACCATGGCCTGCTATGCTGCACTTAACAAGCAGAAGTCAGGGCTGTGGGGACCAGCATGCCTACATGGCAGAGGGATAAAAGTAAATGAGCATCAGATGCAAAAATATACCTACTTTAGGATGTCATTTAGGTGACTTACTTTAAAACACAGGTCACATTGTAAAATCGCAGAAAGTGGACTGTAAAATGTGTCCCGGATTCATGATTGTGGCTGTCTGGGCAGTATACAAGGGGAATGGATTTGGCATGAGGGTGAAGGTGGAGATAATGTTTTACCTAGAATTCTGAATACATACAGATGACGAAGCAAAGATGATGAAACAGAAACAATATAACGGAGGGCACCGTTAACTTGGGTGTTTTTTAATGATATTTTCTTTCTTCCCTCCGGTTCTACATAATTCCCAGTTTAAGACGTTCTGTTTTTCAAGTGCAAACACAATACGTTATGCCTATGCGATGCCTTGGCAATGAGACGTACAGTTACGTCAGAAGTTGCAACTTTCTTGCATTACAACTTAGGTTCCTCAATTCCTGAAGATGACACCTCTGCACTGAGGGAGCCCTTACAAAAGCTCCCCTATTGACAGCCCCCAAAATATAGGCCCAAGGTCAAATGCTGGCATCAGAGAAGGAGGCTGCAGTTAATAGATAATAGGTCAAGGTAGAATTTGCAAGTTTTCTATGTTCTTATAAACTGCATTGTTCTCTCTCTTGTATTTCCTGTGTTGAGGAGGTTCATTTCCATGGGTGGTGACTGCCCTCTTGACATTTTGAAATGAAACTTATTTGACACTGCAGACTTAGTACCAGGAGGTGAGGAGGGTGTTAGGTTTGGTAGAAGAGAGTCCTATAGCTCTTCTGGGCTGTACATCAATAGAATGGTGGTGGTGGTGGGGGGGGGCGGAGATGTGTCCCTATTTTCCTAGCAGAGAAAGGTTGATTTCTTTCTGGATGTGAGGGAAAGTTGCCTAATTTGATTATCCACATGGGGAGAAGAAGAGAAAGACAATTCTAAATTGGATGGGGTATGTTAAGTGCAATGGAGAAGCCACCACCTAATCATTCCATCTGCCTTTCCCTTCCCTGTCTACATAGTTTCTTCCTGCTAAAAATCACTGCATCTTTGGTGAACAGAATTGCACATCAAAATGAACTTGTGAAATGTGGCAAGTTGCAGTAATATTCCTCTCTCTTTTGCTTTCTGATTTGACAACTTGCAAGGTCAATGCTTGGTTGCAGAAGATAGGCTACTCGAGAGAAGCCTGAGGTGTGAAGAACATATGTAAGAATGACAGGGTTGGGTGTGGTGGGAAAACTTGAGGCCTCACATAAAAAAATAAAAGAGAGTATAGCCCCCCCCCAGCCCCCGCTGTGTTAACAATCACAATTCCTTAAAATCAATGTTCTCTTTAGGATCAATCTTCTCAAATGTCATCTGTGGTTCAGCCCTGACACTAGTCCCCACTTATTCGGGACTCTAAATGCAATAATAGAATGCACAGGGCACCCCCATTGCTTCTTCCTAGCCCGCAAGGAAACACTAAGGCTTCTTCCTACTCCCTTTCCCGAGGGAATTAAAAGCTCTTTGTTTTTAGTTTTTTCAGCCTGGAGAGACAGTTGAGTTCTTTCTATCTTCCTGATCTCAATAATCCCCCAGGCTTCCTCCAGCCACCTGTTACCACCTGCCCCTCCAGCCCCACCCCCGTGCCATTTAATGGGTTGCTTCCTAATTGCTGACTCTTTCTTTGCTCTTTGTTTAAGGATTCTTTTTAAAGTTCAGAAGGCGCTTTGCCAGCAGCTGGCTTTTAGTATGAAAAGTAGAATTTCTTTAATGAGTCTGCCTTCCACACGAGGGCTTGACTTACATTTTCCTCACAGGAAAATAAGCTTTTCTTCTAGGCTTGTTTAGGGGCTTCTTAAGTTCTTTTTCAATAACATCCTTAGGGCAGATTCCCTTGGGACACCTTCCTCAATGATGTCTCTAATCTGTATTTCCTTCATCTCAGAAAAAGTTCAAGAGGAAATCAGTCCGCAGGAGTCAAATTAAATGAATGCATAAATATATGGAACAACACACCCACGGTTTTTTCTCTTGCTCTCCCTTTCCCTCTCTAAAAATCAATCTAAAAAATCATACATGATAAAGAAATCCTGCTACTATTAAAATATCTGTAGCTAACATTTATTCTGCACATGGGCCCTTTGTGTCCCATGCTTGTGAGTAGCTCAGGCCATAGAGCTAAAAATGAATATTTAAATAATTTGTATAAAAGCACTAGCTTCGCCCATTTATGGTAGATCTGAAGGGCTAGCTCTGGACCCATGTTTCCACATGGCAGCACTCTCCTAGATTTGAGGGCAGTAGCCTCTTTTCGGTGGAGCCTGGATCCTCCAGGCTGCCAGTGTTCCCACCGGGCACTCTGTCTTCTGCCTGGGCTGGTGAGCTCACTTGCATTTCTGCCTGGCTCTGGTAGGCGTCTGAGCCTGTGATTCCTGAGGAAGGCACTGTGGTTTTCCCCATGTTACAGGTGAGGGGTGAAGTCACCGGCCCAGAGCCATTCTCCGTGTCAGTTGTAGAATCAGAACTCTGGATGCTGCCTCTTTTTACCAATTTCAGGGAAAGTAAAATTCTCTTTTTCCTCACCTGAGGATATGTTTATTGATTTTAGAGAGAGAGAGGAAGACAGAAACACCTATATGAGATAAAAATATCCATCGATTGCCTCCTGTACACACCCTGAGCGGGGATGGAACCCGCAACCTAGGTACATGCCCTAACCAGGAATCGAGCCCATAAACTTGGTGTTCAGGACAATGCTCCAACCAACTGAGTCACCCGGTCAGGGCGGGTGAGTAAAATTCTTTGCGACTGGGTTTAGGAATGAAACAAAAAAAGCCATAGTGCATATGTTTTCCAGGGCTTTTTAGCTCTCACATACATTACTTAATTTCAGCTTTAGAGTAGCTAATAATTATTGAGCACTTATGCCGTGAAAATACTTTACATATTATCTCATTAAACATTTAATCTCTCTTGGCAGTAAGGACCATGATCAAGTTCAGGCGAAGGGAAAAAAGAAACATGTTGGGTAAAATTTAGCAACTTCCTGGGGTGGCAAAGCCCAAACTCAGCCCTTGTTCCTTTTATATTGTAGTACCTTCCAGGGTCAGAGAAAAGGGAGAGGGAATGTATTATTTACAATTAAAAAAGAAATTAAAGTTGTTGATCACACATCAAAAAAAATTTTTAATCAACATATTTTCTCAAACATATGGAGAGTCACAATAAAATCTTATTTTTATTTTATAGTTGTTAAAGCACTGCTGACCTCATTTTAAACTTGTCTTCATACTTCAAACATATTTCGCTTTGCTCCTTCTTTGTAAGTCTAGGTCCACTACTAATGAGGCTGTGAAGTGGCTTCTCCCAGATGCTTAATGTTCTCTGTTATTGCTGAAATTATTTTCAAGTACAAAAAATTTCACCCGAGTGGTACAAATGAACATTTCAGCCACAGTCTGCACTCAGGGTACTGGAGTATGCCATTTGTACGGTATTACAAGGCCATCATTTCTTGTTCTCTCCTTGATATCTAGCTAAGGCATCCAGACCTCTTTTGAGCGAAGATGAATGTTTCTGCCAGGATTATGTAACTGGAGGATCCAGGTCTGAGCAGACAACCATGGGAGCCAATACTTCAAGCAAACCCCCAGTTTTTGATGAAAATGAGGATGGTAAGCAATGTGTGGTAGTTGTGCATAATAGGTAGACTTTTGCACAATTCCAAATAAGCTCTTAGTTTCTTAAGTATATTTTAATGTACTGCGAGGGTAAGCCCAAGAACCTTGTGTGCTCACAGTTAGATTTTACCGCCCACTTTCCATGGGACTTCAGGCAGCTGTCTTAATCGTGACTGTACCAATGCCCTATGTCCAAAGGGGACTGTTGGGCACTTGGTCAATAGAAGACCTTGAAGTGAAATGATTTGTTTGTTCTCTATGCTGCTCCCTTTGACAGTTGAAATTACTACTACCTACTGCTAGTTATTATAGAACATTTCTTATATATTATCAAATTACATGTGAACAATAATGCATACTCATAGTATAGAATGAAGTCATTAAGTAGGTGTTCTCTGAGCCTCTAACTGCCAAAATCCGGGGTCCTAGACCAATTCCACAATGCTAGGCCACAGGAAAAAGAATTGGTGGAAAACTTTCAAGGCCAGACTCAGCAAGAAAAGCAGTAAAAGCATGGATCCTGATTCTCCCGTCACCCCACCATCAGTCGTGCCAAAACCAGGCAAGGGCCTGGTGATTCTTCCTTCCCATAGTGGGAGTCAGAGCAGCCTCGTCAGTGCATGCAGGGCAGCAGCTGTTTATGTGTTGTCTGGGAAAAGAAATCCCCTGCTAGTAAATTGTCCAGGCTTCCCAGAGGGAACCCCCAGAGTCATTTCCAGGGAGCTCTGCTAATGGGCCTTAAAGGAAAAGAACGATGAACTGAAATTCAGGAGATCTGAGCACCAGGCCTATCACAAGCTACCTGTGTGGCTCGAGAATTATTCCCTCTTCAGTTTCCTCATCAGTTAAGTGAAAGATAGGCTGATCGTGAAGGTCTTTTTTAAGGTCTTTTTTTAACTCAAAAAGTTTACCATTTTGAGATCCTCAAACCAATTTGCAAACATGATGATGCAGTATCAAAATCATCAAGGAAAGTTGTGTTAAAATGGACATTTGACTGCTGGAAGGGAAACTGATTATCAGTGGCTTAGACAAGACGGACATGTTTTCTTTATTATGCAACAATCTAGGCATAAGTAATAGGTGATATGTGGCTCTAGAAGGTTAGGAATTGTGACTCTGAAAAGCTGATTTCTCTCCTTCTCTTTCCACCCCTAGAGTCTTACTCTCCCTCTGATGCCTCTGGATGGCTCACCACCACTTCCCAATGCCAGCAGTGGAAGGGGGAGGGGAGGCTGTGCCCACTCCTTTGAAGCACATGACCTGGCTATAGCTGGTCACTTTCATTCACATGCACATACCTAGTTACCAGGGACATGGAAATTTATTTATCTTGTATGGCCATGAACCTTCTCAAAATAAGGTGTTCTGTTTAGTTCCCCAGGAAGAATTAGCGGTTTGCCATGGTTGTGGGGCATACCAGAAGCCTGCTACAATCTAAGTTTTTGAGACTTTGGATTGACCCTTTTAAAAACAAAATATTTGATCCCAGCTATTCACTATTAATTTAGAGGCACAAAATATTGTATAGGAACCCTGAAATTATAGAGTTAGAAATGGTCTTAAGAAATTTTTTCCACTCTTAATTTCTATTGCCTTGCTTTGCTTTCTCAAGTAGTAAAGGTAAGGGTCTAGAGACCGTGATGGTACTTGGTTTTTCCATCTCTAAAATGGGAAGACAAGTTGGCTTGGATTTTATTCATTTGGTTCACTATCCTCCCTATGGATTCAGAGCTAATGCTGTGCATGGGGCTGGTCCTCAGAGAACAGAGTAGGAAAGAGAGGCCAGCTTCATGCTTGTAAATTGCTAAGGATATGTGTCATATTAAGGTATTAGGATGGCATTAGAAAGAGCAAACATAGAAATGACTAAATCCTCTTTAATTCAGCCAGCCCTTCTCATGGGGTGCCCAAGAAAGTTACAGAGCTAAAAAAGTGAGGCACCACTTCATAAATACCTGCAAGGAACTCTGGAAGAGTTAGGGTTAGGGTAGAGTCAGGTTTAAGGAGCAAGGAGTTCTTTCTCAAAACCCTCTAGGTCAGTGGTCGGCAAACTCATCAGTCAACAGAGCCAAATATCAACAGTACAACGATTGAAATTTCTTTTGAGAGCCAAATTTTTTAAACTTAAACTATATAGGTAGGTACATTGTTATTAACTTAATTAGGGTACTCCTAAGCTGGCCTTTGCTAAAAACGTCCTCAATCTGATTGAGGTACGTTTGCTGAGGTCGACCCCTTCCAACTCTCCCATCCACACTCGTCTTATATACTTGTTTCGTCTATCTCCTTTCGTTCATCCTCTCTATATGTCCAAACCATCTCAACATACCTTTCTCAATCATCGACACTACATCTTCTTTCACTCCACAACATTCCCTAAAATTAACTTAATAAACTACTTAAAGTTTTAAGTCAACTTCACACTGTACGTGTGCTCCCGCACGTGGTATTTTGTGGAAGAGCCACACTCAAGGGGCCAAAGAGCTGCACGTGGCTTGCGAGTCACGGTTTGCCGACCACTGCTCTAGGTTGCCACTTTGTTGTCCAACTTCCCCAGCCCAATGAGATGATCCCATGGCAGCACCCATAAAAAGAAGAGCTGAGCAGGACAGTCTGTCTGTGCTTCCCAGGGGACAAGGCTGTGAGTCCATTCATATACACAGCTGCAAGGCAGAAACTGAAGGGCCAATCTACCTACTATGAGCCTGTCACTCTGTTAGGATGAGGAATAGAATAGAAAATGAGATGGCCACGCCCTGCCCTTGTGGAGAAGACAAACAATAGACAAGTAAAAAATTCAGATAACTTCAGAGAATGTTAAAGTGACTCCAAGGAAATAAGTCAGAGTGATCTTATGAAGAGTGACAGGGTGATGGTGGAGACCATGATAGATAGGGTATGTCGGGTGTGGCCTCTCTGAGAAGGTGACATTTGAGTTGGAAAAGGTGAAGAGGAGCCACTCATGCAATGACAAGAAGAATAGTTCAAGCACAGGAAAAAGCAAATCCAAAGTCCAATCAATGACAAAATTGGGATTGAATAGTTGGCTATCTGATGACCATGAGTTTGCATATATAAAACTAATTTTTAAATCAATGCATCTTATATAGTTGATTTGGCTTCTTTTATAGCTCTGGATGGAGCACAAGGTAAATTTTATTTGATTGCTGTGAAGCTTCCGACCAAGAAACAAAAACAACAAAGAAAAAAGCACTGACTAATCAATTAACATTAATGCTTATATTATTTTGATGTCCATTTTTTTAATGTAAATAATCAAATCGGGCCAAAATCTAGGGCACCAAATGAGCCAATTTAATTATTTTAAAAATATTGCTGAAGAGAATCCCAATATGTGATGATGAAAAAGTATGTAATATTTCCTTCCAAGTGTTTACTATTCCCACATTGCTTTGAAGAATATTCAAACCGATTTTCCCCGGTAATATTTCAATATTTGTTTCTCATGGAAAGTGTTTTGGTTCACATGGAAGGTAATTAAGGAATAAGATTAGATGTTATTGGATGTCCCTTGAGATAAGTTGTTCTCACTAGAATTCATCCTGACACTGTATTTTGTGTTGTTCCATCTGATAGTGATCCTGAAAGAATTTTTCTCTTCACTACTTAGATAGATCTTTATTTAATGAAAACAAAGTGTAAGCTTATAGTACTGTTGGACACAATAAAGTTTGCTTATTTGGTTAATGTTAAGTCAACTTTTACAAAGTAGATCTCAAATTATACTATTTTTTTGTTCTGGGGCTCTCACTTTTATATTTTAGCACAAACCTAAGTCCTAATTACTTATTTTATTATGATAAAATATATATAACACACTGTACTTTTTTAACCATTTTTAAGTGCACAGTTCAGTGGCATTGAGTATATTCCCATTTGGGGGCAACCATCACCACCATCTAGAACTTTTTCACCTTTCCAAACTAAAACTGCATCCCCACTAAACAATAACACCCCATTCCCTCTTTTCCCCAAATTACAGAGAGGAAGGGAGAGGGATAGAGAGTTAGAAACATCAATGAGAGAGAAACATCAATCAGCTGCCTCCTGCATACTCCCTCCTGGGGATGTGCCCACAACCAAGGTACATGCCCTTGACTAGAATCGAACCTGGGACCCTTGAGTCTGCAGGCCGACGCTCTATCCACTGAGCCAAACCGGTTAGGGCAAGCCATTCAACTTTCTGTCCCTATAAATTTGACTATTCTATGTCCCTCATAATATTTGTCTGGCTTATTTCACTTATCCAATGTTTTTAAGGTTTATTCATGTTGTAGCATGTATCAGAATTTTATTCCTTTTTAAGGCTGAATAATAGTCCATTGTGTGTGTATACAACATTTTGTTTATTCTTTCATCCACTGGTGGACATTTGATGGTTCCCATCTTTTGACTACTGTGAATTTGACTGCTATGAACATTGGTGAGCAAATACTTGTTTGAGTCCCTGTTCTCAATTATTTTAGTTATATGTACTTGGAAGTGGAATTTTTGGATCCTATGGTAATTCTTTAATTTTTTGAGGAGCTACCAGACAATCTTCCACCTAATTATGTTTAGTGTTTTAGTAATGGGAAACCACCCGGCATAATGGGCTAAAAGCATGGGCTCTGGTATGGGAAGGACATGCACAGGTTCAAATCTCAGCTGTGCCACAGACGAGCAATGTGAAAACTAAAGGGGACATAGCGTGATCAGGCATCAGGAAACACTGAAGTCAATTGGACTAATTACAAAGTGTTCTAGAGGGACTTGCAATATCATGAACAAAGTCCCCAGCCTAAACAATTACTAGTGAATTCATTTGGAAAAAACAACAACAGCTTATATACATAAGCAATGAGTATACTTCATTGGGCCATTGTGAGGATTAAGTAAAATAATGTGAGTAAAACACTTAGCAGGCTGTCTTACATAAAGTGATCACCCAATTAATGCCAACGATAGTGTTATTTATTAGCATCAGAGTC